CTCTCCCGACCTGTTGGACACAATTGCGGGCAAAGCTGTGCGCGCTTGCTGCGGCGGGGCAAGCTTGTTTCGACGGAGGCGGTGGCGTTGCTGCAGCGTCGGGTGCTCCTGATTATGTCTGCCATGTGTTTGTGGTGAGCTCGTCTGTGCTGGCCGACGCCCATTCGGCTGCGTCGAGCCTCGCGCTATCATCTTGCAGGCTCTGCGCGCCGTCGGCGCCCGCGGCCTTCGCACCTGGGCGCCCGAAGACGAGCGTCTTTCAGCGATGGAGGCGGCCCCGTGGACCTCGCTGGGCGACTGGTGAGCGGGCGCCGAGGCGTCTAGCTGGAAAAGCGCCCTCGCGCGCTGACGTCGCGCCGGAGCTCCCGACGCCCGGGCGCCGTCTCGCGAGGGCGGATGCGGGCGGCGGCGGGGGCGGCCGCGTGGCCAGGAAGGGGAAGTTCGACTCCGTGAGATTGTGGAAGGCCTCGAAGTTCCGTCGCCGCCGGCGATCATCGCGAGACTTCGCGGCGGCTCTCGCCGACGCCCGCGCGCGCGACCGCGACCGGGGGCAGGGGGGCGGGGGTGTCGGCGATGGCGCCGCCCGGGCCCCCGCGGATCAATCGACCCGTCGCCGCCCCGGCCTAGGTCGCCGACTTTGACCGCCCCCCCGCGCCCGCGCGGCTGCGGAGGTCGGCGTCCGCGCGCGGGGCCGGCGGCGCGGCGGGGCTTGCGCGCGCGGGGTTGGACGCGAGGAGGGCGGCTAGACGAGCCTGCTGCTTGCTCCCTCCTCTCCCTCCCCCCCCCTCCGGATTTGCTGATGCAGGGGGCGCTCCTGCCGGGGTCGCGCGAGGTGCTGCGGTGTCTCGCGCAAAGCTGGATGGAGTGGTTTCTTTAGAGTAATTGAAGATCTATCGTGATTATTGATGCCGCGCGGTTTCCCCGTGGATTTGGCGCGGGCCTGTGGGGGGCGGGGTGGTTGGGTGGGGGGCCGAGGTCGGCGGTCTGGGCCGGGGCGGCGATGGGCGCGACCCACCGTGATCCACCAGGGCCAGCTTCGGGAATGGTCTTCGACGCGTCGACGTCGCGCCCGCGCTGCTCCGCCGTCGCCAGTGTCACGCTGGCCGCATGTGCGATCTGATCGAATGATTATTTTTGTATATTGATGTCAGCCCCATCCGCGGCGCTTAATGTCAAGGCGCAGTTGGTGCCGTTCCGAAGAGTTCTGGCTTATTTTACCGCTCTGCGCGCCCTGGGGCTCCACTTGATGCGGCCGCGCAGACTTGGCGTCGAAGGGGGTGGCGTTGCTTTGGGGTGCGTGTTTTTTTGTGGCCATGATGAGGGCGACGTGGTTTACTTTTGCCAGGGAGTCACTGCAGTCGCCGCGGACGCGGGGTCGGACAGGATGACCGTCCAGGTGCCGAGTGGGCGGGGTGCTCTCTGGAGGTGGGTGCGCGGCTTTCGCCGGGCAGAGCGAGCGGCTCCTGCCGCGTGCCTGCCGCGTTAGTGGGTGGGGCCACGCATTCGGCAATTTGTCCAAACTCTGCTGTCAGACGCGGGCGGAACGGCCTCGGAAAATCGCGCGCTCGCGGTCCTTGGGCGCGCTCTTCAAAACGCAGGAACATGGTGCGAACATGTCAGACCGGACCTGGGCGAGGATCGACCCGATCTACATCTCCGAGTGCCGGGCCGCTTCGCCGCGGATTTCGCCGAATTGAGATGCAGTGCCATCGAAACTGTTTCTGTCGCAAATGTCCTCCCCGGAGTGGTTTCGCAGATATCTCGAGCCAGAATGGTCTCGCAATTGCCAGGGCCCCGCAACGACCGCATCAGTCTTGAGTCTTCGCCGCATTTGTCGATGCCGCATGGTTGAAGTCCATTGTGCGCGAGGGGGCGCGCGCGTTTACGCAGCGCGAGCGGGGTCGGCGTTGGGGGTTATGCGCGCGCCCCGGGCATGTCCAGAAGCGCGCAGAGGCGCGTGCTCAGGGGCAGTCTATCCCTCTGGATTGTTCTTGCAAGTCCCGCAGGCTCCCAGGGGCTTTCGACATAATGCCGCAGTCGTCGATGCAGTATCTTGACAAGGCTAGGGCGCTCGCGCATGATGACGCGGGGGGCGACGAGACCGCGCGCAATGCCGCGATAGTGATGTTGGCATTCTTGGGCGGGAATGTCCTGAACAGGAACGCATATTTGGATGCGCCGCCGCGGTCGCGCTCGCGCCTCGCCCGAACATGGCGCCGGGGCTTTCTTGCAGAAGGTGCGCCGAGTTCCAATTCGACTTCGCGGCCTTGTCGCGCAGCGGCTCATGGCCGCGCGCGATGGCGACGTCCAGGAGGGGGGTCGCCGATGGCCGCCCAGCGCGGCCTCGGCACCGGGGCCGAGCGAGGCGTTATGCGTTGGGGCTCCTGGGCAAGCCCCGCGGGGGGGGATGCCGCTGCGGCGCGACCCGTGGGAAGAAGCTGGCCCATGCGTGCGCTTCGCAACACCTTGAGCAGAGCGTGCGGCAAAAAACATGTTTCGATATCAGTTGCGATTTCAGGGGGGCTCGCGGTCAGGTCGGCGATGCAGTTTCGCGTTTCGAGCGGGGCAGGCTCAAGAGGATCTCGCGGCCCCCGGGCAAGCGCCGATGGAAGTCTGTGCCCGTGAAGCTGGGTTTGTTTTGCATGCGGGTGCGCCGCGAGGGCGACGCGGCGCAGGGCGCCTGTGGCGCGGCGGCGGGGCCTCAGCCCGACCCGCGGCGCGGCGTCTCTGAAGACGTCGGTCGGCTCCAACGGCTGCAGATCGCGCGCGCGGTGGCTGCGGTCTAGGTTGGCGGGCGCTGCGGCGCCCCCGCGTCTGCAGCCGATGCGCGGGGCGCGAAGCAACGAGTCTGGCGAGCGAACGTTCGGGTCGATTCGGGGTCTCACCAACAACCCCCCCGTCCTCCTTCCCCGTTTCAATATATGCCAATGAGCATGTCCACGCGCGTAATTTCAACATTTAATTATGTTACAACCCATCCGTATCCTCTCCTCCTCCCCCTCCTCCTCCTCCTCCTCCTTCTCAATGGGGGGCCGACGTCCAGTTTCCAAGTCGAATATGTGTCGCCTCAGGGGCGCCGCGTGGGAACCCATGCCCAAGTCACTCCCTTGATTCGCGGGAAAAGAGGCGTCGGCGCGCAAGGCGCAGTACGCCAGTTTCAATGACCCCCGCTTGAAAACTCGCTGTGCCCCGCCATGTCGCAGCGGAGGAAGGCAGGGCCTTGTCCTTCTCTTCGCCCCCCTGTTCCTTCCCCGCCTTGGTCTCCTCCTCTGCCGTTTCCTCTTCCCCCATGCCTTTGCCCTTCTTCGCCACGCCATTCCCTTTCCCCCCTTCGGCGAAGCGCCGTTCGTTGTGCTCGCATATCCGCGCCCTGTTGAGATTCGACCGGGCGGTTCCGAACGGGTGCATGATCGCAAGGTATTTTTTTGGAGGTCGCGCGCGGGAGGTCGCGGTCCCATGTGATGCCGATTGCAGAAAGTGCAGATGATGCGCAGCTCGTTGCCCCCCAGGCGCTCCGCGTCGCGAGTGAGGCCGAGGCCGCGGGGCCGCCCGGCGCAGACCCAACTAATTGCGTTGAGGGCAGTGATTCCCGAGGGAGGCCCTGTGTTGGTCAAGTCGTTCTCAATTGCGCCGTTCCCTCAGTTTTACGCTGCCGCTCAGACGTGGAATCGGTCGGAGGCCTCTGGCGATCTGCCTGGCGCACGTGTTTTTTCAGAGAAGCAACCCGTTCGCCAGCTGTGCGCCATGCTGCATCCTAGGTGTCCCACCCGTGCGATCGTCCAACGCCTGAGGGCGCGTTGATGGCGAGCAATGCAACGCCCGATCGAGCACGTGAGCACTGCTATCGGCGACGTGGACGGCAGCGAGGCCATTCGGATGAAGCCATGCTACCAGGTGCTTGATTGCATCGAGAAGTTCGCGCAGCTCTCTTCAAGGATCCTTTCGTGTCAGCGAATGAATTTTGCGAATGCCACTTGCGAGGCATCACTGTCGAGCCTTGTCAGTCGAGCAAACAGTGCGCAGTCTGTCTCAATCGAAAATCTGGCAGGAAGGGGGGCACCTGGCGCGACATGTGGCCATGCAGGATGTGCCCGACCCCGGCCGTTGCTTGCCCTGGGTGGCGGAGCCGGCGACGATGGCGTCGGCGGCCCGCTGCCTTTTCAGGATGCTCCTCCGCGGTGTCGGCCTGAACGCGCGCGCGAGCGGCGCGTTGGCGGCCCAGGAGCTTCGGGCGGCCCGTCCGAAGGGGGACCTGCGTTGTCGGCCGCGCAGCCGCTCGCAGATGCTGCATCAGGGAACGGCGATGATGGCGTGGGCGGCGGAGGCGATGCGGTTGGCGGCCACGCAGTGCCTGGCCCCGTGTGCCCTCTGGCGCCGCATCTCCCCAATTTTTTCCCGCATCTCCTGGTTTCTCTTTCCTCTCATCGAGATCTCCGCATCATTTCTCCTAGACACAGCTCCCACATCGGTCACCTCCTTTTTGTCCTTTTCTGCTTTACGCTACCAGAGCTTCATGCGTTCCCCGACCATAGCCGAGCCGCAAACCCGATCGCGAACCTACAGCCTCAACTCCAAACCTGATTGCGAACCCCAAGCCCGATCGCGAATCTACGCAATCATAATCGTAAGTCTAGAGCCTGGAGCCGTTGAACTTCCCCCTCTACCACGACAATACGTCTTGGGCAGCATGAGTGCAACAAGCTCGCGCTGAACCCCCCCCTGCCCAACCCGAAGTTCGAGGTGTCCCGTCTTAGGTTGGTGTGGGCGTTTGGGCTGCGTTGACGAGGCGGCAACCCCAGCGCTGGCGTTTAAGGTTGAACGCCGCCAGTACTCAGTAGCCTGGATTCTGCCGATATCGAGAACACGCGCTGATCCACGAAGTGTCAGAAATCAGCGCAAAACGTCATCGCAACGTGAATTTGCTATACCCTGCCTTGTCCTGCATTGTGGCCGTGTACACAAATCCCTTCCGCGTGCGCATCTGCGCCTAGCCGCCCGAGGTGGCGCAGCACACGCTGGGGGGCGCCCGGGGCCACCATTTCTTGTCGGCAGCGGCCGAGCTGGTCGGTGCAGACCCCGCTTTGGACGCGGCCGCCGTGGAGTACGCGGCGCAAGTGTTCCAGGATTCGGGACAGCGCGCGGGCGACGAGGAGGGGGACTGAGTGGAGGGGAGGAGCGATGAGCAGGTCAACAGGGAGAGTGGAGGAAGAGCAGCAGAGAAGCACATATATCATATGATGAGCAGGAGGACGCGCGCTCCCGCCAGGTCAAGCAGGCGAACCCTGCCCCGTCCAGTGTGAGGGGGTGAATCAGGAGTAGGAGTTGCAAAAGGATACGCATCACGATAGGATGGGGATGCTGCTGCTGCTGATTATGATGATGATGATGATGATGATGATGATGATGATGATGATGGTGATGCTGATGATGATGATGATGCTGATTATGCTGATGCTGATGCTGATGCTACTGATGCGGATGATGTCGCTGACGATGATGAACCAGGATGGTGATGATCATGATGCTGCCAGTGCTGATGATGATGTTGCTGATGATGCTGATGATCATACTGATGGTGCTGATGATGATGCTGATTATTATGATGATGCTGATGATGCTGATGCGGATGATGATGCGGATGATGATGATGATGATGATGATGATGATGATGATGATGATGATGATGATGATGCTGATGATGATGATGATGATTATGGTTATGATGATGCTGATGATTCTGATACTGATGAGGACGCTGATTATGACAATGATGATGATACTGCTGACTATTGTAACTATGACGCTGATTGTGATGCTGATGCCGATGATGATACTGATACTGATGCTGATGACAATGATGTTGTTCATGATGAGGATGATGATGCTACTGATGATGATGACCACGCTGCCGATGCTGATGCTGATGCCGATGCTGTTCCTGACGATACTGTCGATGATGATGAATCCGATGATGGCGATGCTGATAGTGATGCTGATGATAATGTTGATGATCATACTGATGATGCTGATGATTATACACCTGACGCTGGTAATGATGATACTGCTGATGATGCTAATTTTGCTAATGATGATGCTGATGATGATGGGATGACGCTGATGATGATGGTGATGATGGTGGTGGTGATGTTCATGATGCTGATGATGATGCATCTGATGATGATGATGCTGATGATGAGGATGCTGATTATGACAATGATGATGATATTGCTGATGACTATGAATGTGACGCTGATTATGATGATGCTGATGATGACCATGATGATGATGATGATGAGGATTGTGAGAATGATGCTGATGTTCATGATGATGATCACGTTGTTCATGATGATGCTGATGCTGATGCTGATGCTGCTGCTGATGATGATGCTGCTGATGATGCTGCTGCTGATGATGATGATGATTTGATGCTGGCGCTGCTGCTGCTGCTGATGATGATGCTGACGGTGATGATGATGATGATGATGATGGTGGTGATGATGATGATGATCCTGATGATGATGATGATGATGATGATGATGATTGTGATGATACTGACCATGATGATGATGATGACGACGATGTTGATAATGGTTATGATGACGGTGATGATGATGATAATGATGATGGCGACCATGCTGCTGATGCTGATGCTGATGCTTATACTGATAATACTGGTCATGATGCTGATGCTGATGGTGATGCTGATGAGGATGCTGCTGATGATGCTGATGATGATGATGATGATGGTGGCGATGCTGCTGATGAAGATGAAGATGAAGATGAAGATGAAGATGACGATGAAGATGACGATGAAGATGAAGATGAAGATGATGATGATGATGATGATGATGATGATGATGATGATGATGATGATGATGATGATGATGATGATGATGATGGTGATGATGATGATGATGCTGATGCTGATGCTGATACTGATAATACTGGTCACGGTGCTGATGATGCTGGTGAGGATGCTGCTGATGATGCTGATGATGATGATGATGATGGCGATGCTGCTGATGAAGATGAAGATGAAGATGAAGGTGACGATGACGATGAATATGATGATGATGATGATGATGATGATGATGATGATGATGATGATGATGATGATGATGCTGATGATGCTGATGCTGATGCTGATGATGATGATGATGATGATGATGATGATGATGATGATGATGATGATGATGATGATGATGATGATGATGATGATGATGATGATGATGATGATGATGATGATGATGATGATGATGATGATGATGATGATAATGATGACGGTGACGGTGAAGGTGATGGTGACGGCGAAGTTGACGGCGGCGGTCAATCAGCCAACGCATTTGGAGCGCACACGAAGTGGGCAGAAGGCGCCGGATGTCTCTTTGGCGTTCTGATTTTTTTCAGCCCGACTCAGTCGTCTTCCGCGGGAGGTCCTGATCACGGTGGAGTTGCAGCTCCGCAGGGAAAGTGGAAAGCCTAGCAGGGGGAGCCTGCGCCCCTCTCCTTCTGGCGCTGCTGGACTCGGGAGCCCAAGGGCCTCAAGTTGAGGGCCGCGCTTCGTCTTGTAGGCCATACCGCCCGCTGGCGCCTCGTCGATCATCGGGTGGAAGTGAATCTTAGTGAGATTCTGTGTCGAGTACAAAAGGGTGAAGGTCATCGCCGTGCTACATCTTGGACTTGAACTCCTTACTCGATGGCCGCGGCCAGTGTCAGTTCACCATGAAGTGGATGCGCGCTTAGCGTCGCCTGTCCTTGCCGTCCGACTTTGCCTTCTTCACGCTCTCGCCACAATTCTGTGACCGCGCAGCCGGGATTCCATCTGCGTCTGGAGCTTCCTCTTCAGGCGTTGTTCTTTGGGCCGTCTTGTCTCGCTTGGCGGCGCCTCCTGAGGGCGGTTCCGCGCCAGCCCTGCAAGCGGCGGGAGCTGGAAGTCTGGCGCCTGCAGCATGGCCGAAGATCAGCATGGCTTCCCGCTGAATGTCATGTGCTTAGATCTGCGCGTCTCCCTTTTCTTGTGGAAGCAGTGCTTCAGCATCGTACGTTCAGTGGCGAAAGTTTCCAGGCAGCGAGTGCCATCATCCAAAAGGCCAGGCCGTACCAAGGGATGTGGAAGAGCGTCGGCCACTGCTGGAGGCGCCTCTGGCTGCATACTGGTGGGCGCCTGCGGTGGCGGCACGGCGACGAAAACATTTGGACTCGAGCGTTTTCGTGTCGAACCTGATTGACTCCTCACGCATGTCGGTGAAGGGGGCTAGCACGTTTGTCTGTCTGGACCGCCATCCAGATGGCCTATCCTTTCTTCGTCGTGACCACGGTCCGCATGTCGTTTTAGCACTGGCTGGTCCGCGGATTGGTGTCAGGCGTGGGCCTGCTGTCGATGATACCGGCGACGGTGTCGAAGTTGATGGTTCTGAACATGACGGCGAGAAGCTGCTGATTATCGAATTGGTGCTTCGCAATATGGTTGAGGAGGAGGAGGAGAAGGAGAAGGAGGCTTGGCTCGTCTAGCTTTTTGCTCAAGCTGCGGTGTCTTTGTGAGGCTTGCGTGCTGGGTCCACTCTTGGGCGGCCTCGCTCCTGGCGCCGGCACGTTTGGTCTCGGCTCGGAGAGTTGGGGGCTGAATCCCACGGCCTGGATTGGCTGTGAGGTTGTGCCGCGGGGGCCCTGGCGCGTCGGCGGGGGGTGTGGCCCACGGGGCCCGACCGAGTTCTGCTGCGGGCGCCTAGATCGGCGGCCCGCAAGCCGCAGGAGTGGCGCGGGCCGCGGCTTGGACCGCAGTGCATCCCATCAGCCTTCAGGCTCCTCGCGCAACTTGCCACTCCACGCCCCCTCACCTCGACGGTGGCCTTGATATCCAGATGCCCACGGTTCGCCCCAGCAGGGACGGCGGCGAACACCATGCCATTTGCGACGACACCCTTGTGCACCTCATCCTGCGTCCGCCGTGACGCCACGCGTTGACGGCCGCGGCGCCTTTCAAGATCCCGACCACCAGGGCCCCATGGGTGGCTCGGCGGGCGCGCGCCGTTCCCACAAACCACGCCCGCCCCTCGGAGGCCCTTGCGGCAGGCGCACATCCGATTGGAACGGCGCGAGGAGAAGGAGGAGGATGAGAAGGAGGTGGAGGAGGTGGAGGAGAAGCCCAGGCAAGAGCCCGAGGAGGAGGAGGACGAGGAGGAGGAGGAGGAGGAGACGGAGGAGGAGGAGCAGGAGGAGGAGGATGATGATGATGATGATGATGATGAGGAGGAGGAGGAGGAGGAGGAGGAGGAGCTGGAGTAGGAGCAGGAGCAGGAGCTCGAGCTGGAGAAGGAGGAGAAGGAGGTGTCAGGATGATGATGATGATGATGATGATGATGATGATGATGAGGATGATGATGATGATGATGATGATGATGGTGGTGGTGATGCTGATGATGATGATGATGATGATAATGACGACGATGGTGATGATGCTGCTGATGATGATGCTGCTGATGATGATGCTGATGATGATGATTATGTTGCTGCTGCTGATGACGAAGATGCTGATGTTAATAGTAATGATGATGAGGATGACGATGACGATGACGATGATGATGATGATGATGATGATGATGATGATGATGATGATGATGATGTCGATGGTGATGCTGATGATGATGATGCTGATGCTGATGATGATGACGATGGTGATGATGCCGATGCTGATGACGATGATGACGATGATGATGACGATGATGCCGATGATGATGCTGATGATTGTGATGGTGTTGGAAATGATGATGCTGACGATTACTATGATGCTGATGATGATGAGGATGCTGATGCTGATGATGACGACGATGATGACGAGGATTCTGATGCTGATGGTGATGCTGACGATGATGCTGACGCTGAAGATGAAGATGAACATGATGATGACGATGATGATGATGATGCTGATGATTATGATGATGATGATGATGATGCTGATGATGATGCTGATGATGATGATGCTGCTGCTGATGATGATGATGCTGATGATGACGATGATGATGATGATGATGATGATGATGCTGATGATGATGATGCTGCTGATGATGAGGATGAGGATGATGATGCTGATGATGATGATGACGATGATGATGATGATGGTGATGGTAATGGTGATGACGATGATGATGATGATGATGATGATGATGATGATGATGGTGGTGATGCTGATGATGATGATGATGATGATGATGATGATGATGATGATGATGATGATGATGATGATGATGATGATGATGCTGATGATGATGATGATGATGATGATGATGATGATGATGATGATGATGATGATGATGATGATGATGAGGAGGAGGAGGAGGAGGAGGCGGAGGAGGAAGAAGAGGAGGAGGGGGATGAGGAGGATGAGGAGGAGGACGAGCAGGAGGAGGCGTGTCAGGCAGGGCCAAGCCAGCCATGGTGCAGTAGTTTTGGTGGTGGGACCAGGTTGGCAGGTGCGGCGTGGGCAGGGAGTATGCTGGAGTAGGCGGGCAGGTCCGAACGCTAGAGACTGGGTGGCGCGAGAGCGGCAGCATGCACAGACTCTCTTATGCTTGCGCCCATGCATGTGAGTAGAACTGTCGCTGCCTTGCTGTCCAGCCTAATAATGATGGCGCGGGCTGCACAACGTGATGACCCCAGTTCCAGACAAGAAGAAGCGCCGCCGAATGGTTGTGATGGTCTTGCTGCTTCATGCTTCTGGCTGCCCGAGGACGCGCAGCAGCTTCTCTGAGCGCGCTCGGGCCTCGGCGGCACTTGCGCCATGCGGTGCTGACCTGAAATGGGTGCTATCGTCGCCGCCACTTCTTCGCCCTCCTTTTCGATTGTGCCCGATCTCGTGCTGCTGCTGTAAGGGCTCGTTCTGGGATCTGCGGTTTACCTCAGAGACCGTGCTGTTGCCATGACCTTCGGTTAGTGAAGTTTGTGTGACTCTCAAGGCGGCGTGCTACGCGGTGTCGCATTGTAGTGCCGCGTTGATGCTTCCTGGCCTTGCACTGCACCCTTTCAGGCATCTCACACTTGGCTTCTGCAAGGGAGGTATAATCTGAGAACGAGCATCTCAGAACAACAGACTCGAATTGACGCTGTTTCATCATGACTCAGTGACAGGATTTTCTCATGGATCCACTAACGACCTCGTGCGGATCCCCCAGTCGTATGTCGCTGTAGCATTTGGCCAGGGCCGCGCTCCATGCTGCTTTTATTATGTGCGTTATGGCCTCACTAGCCGTGGAGGCATTTCTTTGGTTTCGTATCGGCTTCACATGGCTTCCACGGTGATTGCATGGTTTCCTGAGGCCCCGTTTGATTCAATGTTGAACAGCTCCGCACACAGTTGTTCGTGTGGACGTCCACCGTGCCAGCCGTCTGAGCTCCTCGGACCCAAATGATTGCCACACCAGGGTTATTATTATCAATTCTAATACGGCGCGGTTAGATCGAAGCGTACCATGACATACCAACGTGTTCGCTTGGCGTCATGCGTTTGTCGTTTTCTAAATTGTTTCCCATCCATCCTGTGGTGCTGTTCCTTCTTTTTGAAGAGACATCGACGTTCACATGTGGGCGTCATGCCCATTTCAGCACACCCCTCACGCGTTGCGTTGGCCCATAAGGAGCTCCACCTAAGGCCCCAGTTGCGACGTTCGGATGTGGGCGTCACGCCCGTTTCGGCACGCCCCTCACACGTTTCGTGGCCGCATAGGGAATTCCACCTATTGCCCCAGTGGCGACATTCGCATGTGGGCGTCACGCCCGATTCTGCATACCCCTCACGCGTTGCGTTGGCCCATAGGGAGCTCCGCCTAAGGCCCCAGTGGCGACGTTTGCATGTGGGCGTCACGCCTGTTTCGGCACGCCCCTCACGCGTTGCGTGGGCCCATAGGAAGCTCCACCTGTTGCCCCAGTGGCGACGTTCGCATGTGGGCCTCACGCCCGTTTCGGCACAGCCCTTACGGGCGTCGTGGTCCCACAGGGAACCCTCAGTGGCACAGTTCGCATGCCGCCCGAATGGCACGGTCCGCATGCGCCCCTCCCATTTCGGCATGCCCTTTCGCGTTTCGTGGCCCCATGGGGAAACCCACCGAACAGCTGCGGTACTCACAATTGCATATGGTTGGGTCCTTCGCCAGGGTAATTTCCCAACCATCCTGTGGTGCTTGGTCCTTGTTTTGAATCAGCAGCGCCACTCGTTTCTCCTCATTCCTCCTCCCCCCCTCCCTCCTCCCATCCCTGCCTCTGCCCTTCGCATGTCTCTCTTTAGGCATACCCCTCACACGTTTCGTGGTCCCATAGGGGGCTCCACCGACGGCCCGAGTGGCAGCGTTCGCATGCGTCCGCACCGCACATTTCGGCGCACTCCTTACACGCTTCGTAGCCCCATAGGGAGTTCGACCGAAGGCCCCAGTGGCAGCGTTCGCATGATGGGTCCGCGCCGCGCATTTCGGCGCATTCCTCACACGTTTTGTGGCCTCATGGGGAGCTCCACTGGGGCCCTAGTGGCAGCGTTCGCATGCGTTCGGCCCCGCAGGAAGCCCACCGAAGGCCCTAGTGGCAGTGTTCGCATGCGTCCGGGCCGCATATCTCGGCGCACCTCTCACACGTTTCGTGGGCCCATGGGGAGCTCCACTGGAGGCTCCAGTGGCAGCGTTCGCATGCGTCCACGCCGCACATTTCGGCGCACCCCTTGCACTTTTCGTGGTCCCATAGGGAGCTCCACCGAACTCAAGTGGCAGCGTTCGCATGCGTCCGCGTCGCACGTGTCGGCGCATTCCTCACACGCTTCGTAGCCCCATAGGGAGCTCGACCGAAGGCCCCAGTGGCAGCGTTCGCATGGGTCCGCGCCGCGCATTTCGGCGCACCCCTCACGCGTTTTGTGGCCTCATTGGGAGCTCCACTGGGGGCTTCAGTGGCAGCGTTCGCATGCGTCCAGCCCCGTAGGGAGCCCCACCGAAGGCCCTAGTGGCAGTGTTCGCATGCGTCCGGGCCGCATATCTAATCTCAGCGCACCCGTCAAAATTTTGGCGCATCCCTCATGCGTTTCGCGGCCCCCTGAGGGGCTCGACCAGAGGTCCAGTGGCGACGTTCGCATGCGTCCGCGCCACGCATCTCTTCGCACCCCTCACCTCCATAGGGGGCTCGACCGAAGGCTCCAGTGGCAGCGTTCGTGTGCGTCCACGCCGAGCATCTCGGCGCACCCCTTACGCGTTTCGTGGCCCCATAGTGAGCTCCACCGGAGGCCCCAGAGGCGACGTTCGCATGCGTCCGCGCCGCACATTTCGGTGCATCCCTCACACGTTTCGTGGTCCCATCGGCAGCTCGACTGAAGGCCCTACAGTGCCGTTTGATACATGCTCCGCGTGCGGATCATGTATAAAAATGCAAGGATTTAGTATTAAAAACGATGAGTGCATGCATCAATTTAATCACAAATTGACCATGTATTAAAATTCAAATATTTTTTAACATCCCATGCATTGAAATCTGCCCTGTAGTAGCGACATTCGCATGTATCTCCGCCGTACATTTTGTCCCTTCCCCCCTCCTCGTCTCCCTCGCCATACTCGCACTTAGTTGCACATAGTTGGGTCTTTCGCAAATGGAATTTTGCTATGTCGTCGATCGCTTTGGTTTGCTTCTTTGCTGTTGCTATTGAGCTCTCGTTGCTCAAGAATAACTATAGTTTATCCCCCCCTCCGGTGACCATTATACTTTTTCAATTGAAGTGGTTCCCCCGGGACTCGCACCTTGTTTTTACTAGGGAAAGTCATCAGGGTCGAAGTGCACCCCTGGCCCCAGGGTTACAACAACAACGGCCCCCGCCTGAGACTTCCTCGCATTTCTCTCAGGAATCGCGCTATCGTTTGGGACTTTATTATAACGTATTTAGGAATCGCTCTCTCGGCGCTCTGGAGTCGCGCTCTCGCTGGAGACTTGCTGGCAAGTTTTGTAAGAATCGCAATCTTCGTTGGAATTCCTTGCAATTTACCCAAGCGCCGCGCTCCCGACACTCCGGCACCCAGGAGTCGCGCTCACGCCTAGGACTCCCTCACAGCTTACTTAGGAATCGGGATCTCGCTGCCCTTCGTGACCCCGTTGCAGCCCTCCGTGGCCCCCTCGCTGCCCTTCGTGGCCCCGTTGCAGCCCTTCGTGGTCCCCGCGCTGCTCTTCGTGGCCCCGTTGCAAATCTTCGTGGCCCCGTTGCAGCCCTTCGTTGCCCCCTCGCTGCCCGTCGTGGCCACGTTGCAGCCCTTCGTGGCTCCCTCGCTGCCCTTCGTGGTCCCGTTGCTGCTCTTCGTGGCCCCCTCGCTGCCCTTCGTGACCCCCTCGCTGCCCTTCGTGGTTCCCTCGCTGCCCTTCGTGACCCCCTCGCTGCCCTTCGTGGCCCCATTGCAGCCCTTGGTGGCCCCCTCGTTGCCCTTCGTGGCCCCATGTAAGTATGCCTTTCGTGGCCCCCGCTCGTTCGCGCCCGTCGTGGCCACGTTGCAGCCCTTCGTGGCTCCCTCGCTGCCCTTCGTGGTCCCGTTGCTGCTCTTCGTGGCTCCCTCGCTGCCCTTCGTGGCCCCCTCGCTGCCCTTCGTGGCTCCCTCGCTGCCCTTCGTGACCCCCTCGCTGCCCTTCGTTGTTCCCTCGCTGCCCTTCGTGACCCCCTCGCTGCCCTTCGTGGCCCCATTGCAGCCCTTGGTGGCCCCCTCGTTGCCCTTCGTGGCCCCATGTAAGTATGCCCTTCGTGGCCCCCGCTCGTTCGCGCCCGTCGTGGCCCCATATACATGCGCTTCGTGGCCCCGTTGTCGCCCTTCGTGGTCCCGTTGCTGCCCTTCGTGGCCTCGTTGCTGCCATCAGTGGTCCTCTGCGGCCCAATATACGTATGCCCTTCGTAGCCCCCGCTCATTCGCGCCCGTCGTGGCCCCATATGCATGCGCTTCGTGTCCCCGCTGTCGCCCTTTGTGGCCCCCTCGCTGCCCAACGTGGCCCCGTTGCTACCTTCAGTGGCCCTGTCGCTGCCTGCTGTGGCCACGCATTATCTGCCCTTCGTGGCCCCCCTCGTTCGCACCTTTTGTGGCCACATACGCATGCCCTTCGTGGTCCCGCTGTCGCCCTTCGTGGCCCCATCACTGCTTTTCGTGGCCCCGCTCTCGCTCTAGCTCTCGCTCTCGCTCTCGCTTTCGCTCGTTGTCGTCGTCGTTGTCGTGGTCGTCGTCGTCGTCGTCGTGGTCGGTCCCCTGTCTGTCCCTCTTGGGGTCGGGTTGCCGCCGGTCAGCGCTGCCGCTGGCCAAGCCGACGGTCCGCGGCCACCCCGCTGCTTGCCGGGGCCCGGCCTGCAAAGAAAAACGATATACCCCCCAAAGGGAGTACGATCGAAGACGAAGGGGGCGGATATCGAGGGCTTGGGGAATACACGTTGAATGACACTCGAGCAAGTAAGAGCGATCAGTCTCAAACTGATTGTTGTCGTTGTTGCTGTTGTTATGGTTGTTGCTGTTAATGTTGATGTTGTTGTTGTTGTTGTTGTTGCTTTGTCTTTGTATATTATCATTCCTTGAGGAATTGTCGCTCTCTGTCTTTCTCTGTTTTATGTGTACATCAGTTTCTTGCTTTTCTCGTGTCAGCTGGCTTATCATGCGCGTTAGCAGCTAGTGTCTGGTTCCCCATGGGATTCGCCAGGACTTCCCTCAATGCTGAATCATTGTTTTGGCGTCCCAGATAGGAGTCCGTTAGTTGCCCTGAGGGTTTGTGAATAACCACTACGAATTCCGTATTCGTTTGCTTTAGGAGTATTGGTTTCCGTCCGTAGGCTTCATGGCGTTCCATCAGGGTTGTATTTTTGCGCGCTTTTGGATCTGTTTTCGTTTTTGTCGGAGGGGACTCCGCGGGCTACCCTTGCCGATATGCCGTCCTTTCTGGAACTCAAGCACGATTCCCTGTATCTCCGAGCAGTTCTTGTTTGTCGACAGATTTCTTAAGGCTTGTGAGCTCGATGCATCGGGTTCCCAGGGATTCCAGGATCCCTTGTAACTGCCTGCGGGACCCTGTTGGGTGTCTTTTGGAACTCCTTTTGAACTACCGAATCCGTTGAGGCCCTCCATCGAGCTCAGATGTTTTCTTTTCATCCCAATTGTGTCGCATCGGGCTTCCTCTGACATTATGCGAAGGGCCCACCAGATTCCTTGTCCTAGCCCCAGTGAGCCATTGATCTTTGTGTCATTTGAGGCCGTAATGCTTTGCGGCCTGCTTTATCTTACAGTCGGTTCCCTGGATTGAAACCTGTTTTATCCTCAGCAGTCTATTTTGTTCGAAGCGGTTTCCAAGAGGAGATGTTGGTGGTGCCATGACCGCCACGTTCATTTGTCAAGGACATGATTTGGGCATCTCGGATGTCATCGGATTTCCATAGGG